CACAGAATGCCTTTCATTTTTTTTCTTTTGTTTGTCTTGTGAATCATATCCAATGATGTCGTTGATGTAAAAGAACACGAGGTGGGAAGATGGGAAAAACTTTTACGTTCTGCGTGTTGTGAGAACTATTTTTTCAGAAAAATGGGCACAAATATGCACAATTTAGACAAAGTTTTGTTTTTCAAGCATTAAACACATCTTGTAAAGGATATAAACAATAACATTTGCTAATTTTTAAAAAAAAAAAAGTAAGTACCATTTTGTTTGTTTGTTTTGGGGGATTTTGTGGGATTGACCGATTTACATAGTATGGCCAATAAAATGAGTATACCAGACTTATTTGAGTGTTAGTTTGATATAGCTTTTTTATTCTACTTTGCTGATGTCTTTTCATCTTATTCCATTTCATACATGTAAAAAAAGGAATTTTATGCATCAAGACAGCTGCAATTTTAGTCTATTGTTGGTTTTGTCAAAATCTTTCTGTGTAACGATCAATCATGCATGCATGACCAATCTGTTTATGTAATTATTCTTTTAACTTGCCATCCGTACTATAAGTAACAAAGGCTTAAGCATGACAGTCTTAAGAAGATGAAATCAAATTGTCAAGCTTCGATTTTAGTCATCCAGTTTGGATTTTTCTTTTCCCATTATATGCACCTTTTCAGCTCATGCTTTTTAATCTGCCAGCTGTTTGAAAGCTATGTATTATCCACACTGTGCTCACTGACAAGCAGTGTATTTTCTATTCTACATAGAATAGAAAATAAAGACTAGATGCATAACTTTGTGTCCCCAAAAATGAAGCCCTGCAGGCTAAGTTCCTTTTGAGAATGAGAATCAGTAGGATGATAGCTAACATGACAGCTAATTAGAAATGCACTACTGCACTGACCGGTGACCGCCAGTCAACCTCCCAGATGACTCCCATATAGGCATGTGTTACGCACGCACAGCAGTGCAGGCAAATAGTCACATATATATATTTTTGTCATAACACATTGATGTCAGAATCTGAGAGCAGAAGACTCTGCCTCCCATACTACTATTAGACATCCTAGGAATCACAAGTAAGCCTGCTGTCTGAGAGCAAATTACTCTATAGGGGTGATAAAGTACTGTGAGGTCTTTAAGATTACATGGGGCCGGATTGTTCAATATCTTGTATGTGAGGGGAAGGATTTTAAATTTAGTTCTGAATTTAATAGGGAACCAATGTAGAGTAGACAATATGGAAGAAATACCCTTCTCTTTCTAGTCCCTGTTGCTACTCTTGCTCAATCAACTCAAGGCTTTTCAGGGAGTTTTTACAACAACCTGATAATAGTGAATTACAATAATCCAGTCTAAGTAATAAATGCATGAACAACTCTTTCAGCATCCCTCTGAGACAGGATGTTTCCAATTATTAAACAAATGGAATAACAATGTCCTATATATGTATTTAATGTGCAAACTACAGTACTACTATAGCATACAGTACTATGCTATAGTACATAGTCAAAAATAACTCCAAATTTCATCACAGTGTTACAAAAGCCAAGGTAATACCACCCAGAATAAGTATCTGGTTAGAAACCATATTTCTAAGACTTTTAAGGCCGAGTACAATAACTTCAGTTTTCTAAATTTAAAAGCAAGAAATTGGAGGCCTTCCAGGTCTTTATGTTTTTTCCTGCAGTTTAACTCATTCATGTGTGTCACCTGTTTTCATAAAGAGATAAATGCATAGCAGTAAAAATGTATGCTATGCTTTCTAATGATACTGGCAAAGGGAAGCATGTCTAATGTAAACAGAATTGGTCCTAGCACGGAACCCTGTGGAACTCCATAATTAACCTTAGTGTATGAAGACTCCCCATGAACATGAACAAACTGGAGTCTATTAGATGCATATGATTTAAGCCACTACAGTGCAGTACCTATAATACCCACAACATGCTCTGTGATAAAATATTATGGTCAACAGTATCAAACGCTGCACTGAGGTCTAGTAGAACAAGCACAGAGATGAGTCCACTGTCAGCGGTTATAAGAAGATCATTTGTGACTTCACTAATGCAGTTTCTCTACTGATGAGCTCTACTGTTTTACAACTACTCTTTTAAGAATTTTGAGATAAAATGAAGGTTAGAGAATTGCCTATAATTTTAATGTGTTGGTGTTTGTGGCTTCTATACTTTAAGCAGTCACTGACAGCAAATGATTTTCATCGAAGCATTAAAAACTGTCCTCATGTTTAAAATGTTTGTATGTGCCTTTGTGTATTTAATTTTGAGTGTCTGAAAATAGAGGACTATATATAAAAATGGCTGTAAACAGTTAGTGCATTTTTTTGTAAAACCCCTTTAATAAAAGCTGAACTTTATTTTTCTTTATTATTTAAAATCCACTGCTGCAAAGCTTTAAAAAAAATGTGCCCAACAAATTATGTATCTAATTGTAGAATGCAGCACAATAACAAGTCTTTTTTTTAGCTGCATAATAATTTAATTAACCTCTTTTGAACAATTATGTAGATCAGATTTGCCACTCAGTTTCAGGATTGTGAGCAGTGTGACCAAAAGGCTTGTGAATATCATCACATGAATCTGATGTTTTAACCCAGAACATTGCTTCAAGTGTTAGTAACACACCTAGCAATGAGCGTAACCATCAAAACAATCTGTTGTTGAACTTGCACATAGCTACATTAAAATAATGATAGTGTGGTTCACAATTTTTATCAGTTATTACAATTTCTTCTTGAATAATTTGCAGAGCCATTGGCAAGGTATCATAGGGATATGGGGACCATAATTAGACTAATTGTTTTCAAAGACATTGTCACAATTACTGCAATTATAAAGCAGAAGTAAACAAATTACTCTTGTTGGGTTTTCTTTGAAATTAGGTGTTCACTAATTAAAAAAAAACCAAAATGTTACAGAAATGTGAGGAAACGGCTGTATGGAACGAGTCATGACCTGCATAAAGACTAACAGTAAATATCAACTGATGGTTCCTTTCTACTGAAGTAACAAAAACCAGAACAAAACATTATCTGTGTGGAGACTGCATTACCTGAAACAGATATAAACACGCCTGGATATCATATTTCCCACAGTTTTTCACAGTTAGAGACTTGACACCCTCTGTGAATTTGCATCTCTTAATTTGCTCACTTCCTTTACTTGGTGATTTACGGAGAAGACAAATATGTTTTATATAAATGTTGGGCATACAGTAGCTACTGTGACCTCATCTACTGGTTTATGGATTGATAAACCAATGGATTATCTTAGATTATTTGATGGATAACTTGATAAAATTGTTCCATATTGCACAAACACCATAAAGAAGGTTCAGCGTTCGATGGTTCAAATTAATTAAGGTGCCTCTTAGCTGACTCTTAGGTGCCTGCATCTACATGCAAGTGTTACTCATGTCAAACCTGCATGCTAATAAATCAGCCCATCTGTGGTTATCTCAAGGGGGACAGTTAGCTGTCTAGACCAAAACAATTTGTAGCAGGATGTAAACATGTTTATTTCTGGAGTGGATCTGAACATTGGGTCCCAAATGGCCACTTGAGGAACTGCAACTTAGGCCACTTTTGCTTTGGCTTAATTCTTCAGCCCTTAAGGCTGCAACTTCTACAGAATCCATTTCAAAATTTTCTCTCACCATCTCTCTGGTTGAAAATGTGTTTTCTCTCACAGGCAAGCTATTCATTAACTTCCTTTTATGGCTCATTTTGACACGTCCTCCAAATATAATTTAAATTCATTGGAGCCGGTAAAGTCTGGTTAGACAATTTTATCTGCTTCATTTAATCACATCTTTCATATTCAAATTGGAATTTAATCAAAGGTAATCACAGCTGGCTTATCCTGGGAATATTTAGTAAGTATTTTATTAATAATTGCCCACCTGTTCATCCCAAAAGTCACTTTTAAAAAAATCCGCCTTCAATTTCCTTTTCCCCCCCGCCTAAACGTCATGGCTTACATAGTCCTCCAGCAGGATTCTGTTGTTGTTCTTCAAAACAGCTCCACTATTGACACTTTTGACCATTTGTTTATCCTTCCCCTTTCTCCTCCATTGCTCTAGTGCTTGGTGTGGTTCCTGAGCTCTGCCTGTGCCGGGACCTGGAGCTCGACTGTGACGGGGCTCATCTTCAAGATATCCCAGTGGTAGCAATGAATGTCACTATGATGTGAGTAGAAAATAACCCCTGTTTTTCTTCAATACTTTCAAACTCAAGCAATGTCCACAAAGACAGTCATCAGCAGCGATTACTGTCACAACTTGCGAGAATTTTTGTAGCAGACATTTGCCACTTCAAACATCACTTGCCACTGTGAATACCTGTCATTGCCACAACTTGAAAGGAAAAAAGTGAAAATTATTGCCTGAGACATGGCACTCAAAGAACTCAAATCTGTTGGACAATTCTCCGAGTTGGTGGTAGAAGTAATCATTTTCTGGGCAAAAAAACTTTAATTTTTTTTTCTTTTCATTTATCCTTTACATGAAAGTTAAGTTCAGTAATATACTACTTTAAACAAAATGCATGGATATATTTCAACAAGACCACTCAGTGTTGAGACTTACTGTTAAAAGCTATAAAAGCTAGCCCGTACTCATTTAAAATACGGCCTTTTTGATCAGTACAATGTGCAACATCCAGAATCAGATCAACTATGCTACCATAAGCCCAACACCTATGTTACAAATTTAGCCTTGAAAATGTGACATTAAGACAACTATAATGTATGTGGAATAAATAATAAAAGGCTCATTAATCACATGTCCTCACAGACTGACTGGATGGGTCGCAAGCACACTCATTTATAGAATTCCCTGTTCAACAGTTA